AGAGCATATTTTTTGGGGCACGCTGATCAAAAGACACTTCTCTTTACACCATGCACCTCTTGAGGCAACAAGAATTAATTTATCATCTCTATTGTGGGCTTCTCCTGAGAAACAAGCACAGAAAGCCCTATGACACAACACTCTCCCTCCCCTAGGGCTTGTTCCTCCTTCTTCCTTGCTGTCTTTGGGATGAACAGCAAGAGAACGATTCTGCTCAAATGCACTTCCTGGAGTAAGATGGTCATGCAGCATTTACAAATGCCAGTCTGTTACAAAAGAACCAAACAAAAAATAATTTTAACGTTGTCAAAGGCAGAGATCAGAAAGAACTCTTCTTGCTGTGCTACATAGGAAGCATGAAGTCCTACAAAAGGCTTCATAAACTTCAATAGCTCTACCTTTACAGTCTACAGCTTAGACTTCAATAACAGCAAAAGGGTGCACGAAGTAAAAAAAGTTACTAATGCAACACAGGAGAAAAATCCAGAAGAATCCATCTTCCAAGACAGAGAGAAGTGACTACAGATCTTAGGGAGACATAGTTAGCATTGCCTGCAAGCTCAGCAATGTTAGTTTTTTCCCCATGTTAGGTCAACTGCAGACAAAGCTGGGGGTAGGGAGAAGGGAATGGCAGCTGGCGATCCTGCTGCGCCTCTACCTTTGCAAGGCATTGTTCCACATGCCTACTCATCTCCTCCTCGGATCCTGACAGAGGTCGGCTGCAGAGGGGACATACCTGCCCTTCGTCTTGCTTCCTCCGTTTCATTTTTCCAATCCGAGCTGCATGGAGAAACCAGGGAAAGAAAACAAAAAAAAACAAAAAAGGAAGACATGTCAAGTTTGTAGATCCACTCTTCTCTCGATTTGCTCAGCTCCAAATAATAAACCCTTGGCAGATTTCACACCAGAAAATCCCGTTGCAACTCCCTATTCTGATCTCCATAAACAGTACAGAGACTGTTACTTAGAGCTTTCCAGATTAAACCTATAACCTGTTGCTGAGTACAGCCTGATTTCAGAAAGGCAGCTACTCACGATTTAATAACCAGGAGAGGGAATATCTGCCACACGTCCCCAGGTAAGTTATTCAAATGGTTAAATACCTTCTCTTGGAAGCCTGAAATTGTTTTCAAAGTTGAATGATCAAGCCACTGAATCCTGTTCTGGATTTTGCCTTCTAAGTCTGAGACCCATCCGCTAACACATCTATTTCCTATACAGGAACTTGCTTAGGCCGTAGAAGGATGATGTAGCACCCAAAAAGCCTTGGACAAGGTACGTAACAGTCACTTCCAGGACCACAGAGTCTCCTGTACACCCTGAATAATTCCTTCCCAGAACATCACGAACAAGTCAGAGCAGCATCTTAGTAGCAGGTAACATTTATGGAGAGGAAAGATCTTTGCTGTGAAAAACGCAGCACCTATGCTAGATAGCTTCTGGCTCTCTCTGATATTTTTCACTATTTTCACGTAGAAGAGAACTGGGGGCTACACTGCCTTCTTGAGGGCACGCTCTGGGAAACAAACATGTTAGGAATCACGATGATTAGAAAAAGCAGCCAAGGTAGCCTGTTGCTTAATCCAATCTCTGGTTAATTTGAGCCATCATTTAATGTGATCAAAACATCTGGAACCAAATAATTTGCATTAAAAAGAACTTCTGTCCTTTATTATGATGGCTTTAGGCAGGTATTACTGAATAACTCAATCACTGGCTGCAGGAAAGTCGCTGTTTAATTAATAAGGAAGGTCAAAATTCTGAATGAGAGACAAGGAAAAGCCCAAGGAAAGCCCATGTGATAATGAGAGATGACACCACCAAAAAGCTGCGTTAGCCAGAAATCGTTACTGACATTGTGAGCACTGCAGCATGCTCTGAAAGCCTTCATGCCTGAATACTGTGGGATCAACAGCTCCCTGCAGCCAACGAGTCAGAGAAAGCTGCTGGAATGCCAGGAAGAGAAGGACCGGGGTACAGGAAAGTTTCTGTCAATCCTTTTCTAAAGTGCATCAGTTTATAACTCACTTGGTGATGTGGATACACTAAAGTTCCATCTGAACACACCAACATAGCCCGAAAGGCCTCTTTCAGGGCTTTCTTGTTGGCTTCCCTGGACTCAGGACTCTCTGGGTTAGGATATACTTTCCCACAATCCAGAATTGGGAATATTCACCACCCCCGACACTCTGTGATGCTCCAGGATTAAGGCGGCTTCAAATTATTCCCTGGGCATTGCTTTTCCTCACTGAACAAGACAGATTTGTAGGAAAACTCCCTCCAAAACAAATCTTCCCTCCTGGCATCACGAAAAGGCTTCTGCAAATGTGACATTCCTAGAATAGGAAACAGCAACTTGAGACCACAACAAGAGTGTTTTTGAGACCTGGCGCTTTGAACAACAGAGACTGCCAAGTAAATGCACACCACTTTCACCAGTCATCTAAATTTCATTTGCTGAAGCTCCACAACCCTCTCTTGTGTTGGGTACACCACACTGACAGCTCCACAGCCTACCTGCCTCTCCACACACTTCAGGTACTTCAGTATTCCTAGTGGGATATTTTAATAGTTTCCCTTCTATTTTGTCTGCTTAAATCTGTTATTTTACCTATACTGTCAGCTTCTACGCCAGAAGGTAAACCGCTTGACTTCTAGTCAGTACAGAAGGAAACATCATGAAATGTTATTGCTAATTTCATTGTGCCCAGATGAATTATGTTCCACTTTTAAATGAAACAATGACCCCCAACATGTCTTCTGTGTTCTCTCCCCTTCCTGAACCCCAAAACGCTATCCCTCCTCCACCTTCAACATCATCCACCCCTGTTACCAGAAGTCGTCAGAGTTAAGCCGTGTTCTTTCTGGTTTGTACTTCAGTGCACAAGAGGCTTCTGAAGTTCTGGTTTAGTGAATACCTATATCCTTCAGTATGGTTCTTTCGCATAAGCTTAGGATGCTCTTTCCTCGCCTCGCTAGTGCTGCAGAGTCAGCACAAAACAGGGGAGGAGGCTGGAATCAGACACAACTTGAGTATTCTCCAGCAAACCCCTATCCGACCAGAGAAAACCACAGGAACAAAGCCTTCTCCACCCTGATTGCAGACACGTCTTTCTCTCACCTCATCCTGTTTTTAAACAGGGAAACATAGGGAAGGAGCAGTTTAATTATTCTGGTAGGACTCCTCATGGCAAATCAATTCAGCTAAGTCAGTCTGCCTGGCAAGTTTATTAGTATTTTTAACTTTTTTACTGCCATCCTCCAGTCCATGCACTGTAACAGTGATAAAAGGAAGATGACTTGGTTTAGGTCTTGCACCGATAAATTCCTGGGACCGTTTTGCCAGAACAAGCACCTGATCTACTGTTGAAATGTTAGTGCGGAGCTGGGAACAGAACCTCACTCTGCTCCAGCTCCACGCAAGACTCGGCAGACAGCCCCTATCTTGGATCATCTAGCTCCACCAAGAAGCAAGCCCTTTAAGTTTTAGTGCCACAAGTGAAAAAGCCACTGGAAGAAAGAGGTGTTGAAAACAAACCCCCCTGCCATTTTCATTCTGTGGTCATTAGCGGTGGCAGTGTTGTGCCCACAGAGGCCCTGGTGACAGCAGAAACCGAAAGGGAATGCTGCAGCCTGGAAAGCACATCCCGAGCCCGCTGTCCCTACCCGACACGACACGCAGCCCGGCTATCACTTCCAATCAGCGCAGAAGGGAGGGAGCGGCCCCAAAGGCAGGGGGTGATTGTGGCGCCGTCCCGAAGGGGAGCAGCTCAAAAGAACACGCAAGTGAGACCACAGGATTGTTAATTAGTGTTGATAGATGCGATCATTTCTAATTAGCTCACTAATCCCTCTCCCCCTCGCTCCTGTCACAGGAGCATGGGGGGGGGAGGGGGTGGAAAAAGCCATTCCCTCTTGTAATTCAGGAAGACAAAAACGCAGCCAGCGGAGGACTGGGTGCAAGAAGAGGACGGAGCTCAGGGAAGGAGGTTTTTGCACAAGGCTCACCCGTTCTTATCTCTGACTGAACAAAGACTCTGTAGTTCTTATTCCAGCCTTCTGCCAGGAGGTGAGGAGTTCGCTAATTTTTATTAGCATTAATAATTATTATTAGGCCATCAGAGGGCTTCCAGCACCTTTGAGGCCTCACTTTTAGCAGATGTACATTACCCTACACTCTGCTCCTGCTGCATGTGCATGTTCCCCCTCAGGTTACACTAAACCATCGGGCACCCAGGGAGTTTAAGTGGCCATAGCATATGAATGAGAGAGTAGCACATGGAGGTGAGCAAGAATTGGGACCCTCTGCAAGAGCTGGGGTCTCAGTTATGGTCTCTGACTTAACTTAGGAGCTGTGCTGGCTAAGGGAGCTGCTCTTCCCTTTCCTAATACAGGGTCTTTTGGGACTAAGCAAGGTGAGAAGCTGCTTGCACTAGAGGAGTAACCAAACTGCACTTGACAGAGACCCTCCTGCTGAGGGTACGCTGGCCCCTGCCTTCCCACAGGTGTGGAGGGAAGGAGCCAGCCCACCCCTGTCCACAGACGCTGCTGCCTTACGGGTGGAAGAGACTGGGGATTTTTTTCTCACAACAGGCTCTCCCCATCAAGGCTAAACCTTATTAATGCCTAAAGATCATGTTATTCTCCAGCCCAGCAAAATTTCCTGAGAGAAAAGCTAATGGGTTTTAGTTTCCACTGATACTCCCCTCCCCAAGCAAAAATTCACCTTCAGGACAGGGCACTAATTACCTCAGAAGTGCTCTTACATAGCATCTAGCAGTGGACACTATACAAACCTCTACAGCAGCATCAAAGGAGATGATTAAGTTACTAGCAATATCTCTTATGATTCCCTCCACCAGTTTGAGTGGTCCCCCGAGTGCCATGCAGACATCATTAGCAGCTCCTGCAATGGCAGGCCAATCAAATTAAGTGGAAACATTTTTGTCTCCTTTCCAGTGAAAATCATCTAGCTTTATTCCTCCCCCACCCATCAGCTACAAAAGCACATGACATGCTGGTGGTGGTTCAACAACAAACTGCGCGGTGACCACCTCCCTGGAGGTCTGCCCAGAGAGGCAGGCTTATGGTCACCACCAATACAGGAATCAGCTTCTCAGGCAGGTGCAAAAGGAGCTTTGTAAGGACCTATTTTACAATTCTACTGAAACTGCCAACTTTGATTCAAATTTAGGGGTGTTTGCAAAGAAATTCAAGCACAAGAGTTAGCACCTGCTCTCTGCAAATCTACTAGAGGAGTCTTGAGGAGCAGTTATACCTAATTTTGTCAGACCTATCACAAAAAGCTTCTATGGCTGATCAACTTATCCAAGGGAACAAGGCAGCAATGGCAGACCACAAAAAATCATCTCAAGAACAAGCTAAAGCAAGAAAACAGATGGTCAAGAATGAGTCTGTTTCAGACCTTATGTACAATTTGCTGCTCATCTGCCTGAGAGAGAACATTAAGGGCCAAATTCACAGAAGGGTCTCAGTGGGGCTTTCACATTTGTATGGCCAAACTTCCACATGGATGATTTTCAGCAACCTTCAATCCGATGCTATTCTCCGAGGCCGGCACGTACTTAACCTGCTAAATCCATGTTCTGATACACTAACCTGTAACTCTGTGCCTCTAATTTTGAATGACTACCTAACCTGCTCTGCACTGCTAAACTCCATAAGGACCAATTTACGGGGTGGCTTAAAGTTTCCAGTTTGGCAACATTGGAAATAAGGCAAATGAAAGAAATGCCTTCTTCATCACATGGGATT